AGTCACAGCTGAAGTTCACCCTGTCCTGTGAGTTACCCAAAAATTAACAGCTATTATGCAGAGCAGGAACATTCCCTTCACGGCATCTGCTAATACGAAGCTGAGTCTAAACTTGAATTCTGCAACTAGTTCTCTGCAGAAGACCTGGAATTCAATAAATCTGAGTCACATTCTCAAGGATGACTAGGAAAATGGCATCAGTGACTTTTGCTTCACGCTTGTTTAACACATAAAACATTCTGTTCCTCTGTTGTCACCACAGTCTCTCTCAGGGATCAAAAAGTCTAGATCCTTTCACCTCAGACAGAGCATTAAGGATTCCTCAGAGCTGGATGGGACTCTGCAGTTCCAACACCACAGGAAATAATCACATGTTTTCAATGAAATCAGATAGCAAAGTCACATCTCATTAACCTTGCAAGGCTGTTACAAAATAACTATTTATTCACAAGAAATGAAGCGCTATAAACAACAACAAAGAAACAGGCAAAAGGTTTTCAGGAAGAGATAAAACTAAATTTCTAACAATCAACACTGCAACACCTGACCAGGGACTGTGGCAAAGCTCACCCAGTGACTTTGGTTCTGCACCAGCTGAAGGCACTGCACACTGACCCCAGAGGATCCATGCTGACTGAGAGGGGAGGTTAACACTCCAGTGATGAGGAGTGACTGGTGTGCACAGCTCCATACATACCTCCCTGGCCCATTCCTTTGCATTCCTTCCAGTAAAGCCTCCATCTCCAAATCCTGGTGGCTTCAGCAGCTAGGGGAGTACAGGAAAGCAGTGGTCACCCATGGCAATGCACAAACTGCTTCTCCATCCAACTGCAGAACAAGGGGAAAGAAGTTAAAAAATTACCATGAGGATGCAATTACAGATGAGGAAAACCACAGTCACCTTCATGAATTAACAAGATAAGTATCTGCCAAAGAAAGGAACAGATTTTTCTACCAAACAAAAATAAAATACCCAATGCAGCCCTTCAGCACTGCCAAAGTGCAGTGACAGAATCATGTGGCCTAAGCAATGCAATAATTCACAGAGCAGCAAAGAGAACCTACACTTCAGCAAACAGATGAACTGAACACACTGCGCCTAGCAGATCTCCTGGGTGCACCAGTGTGGAGGATCAGTGACACTTGGGGGCTTCAAAAGGGCCAGTCTGAGATCCTCCTCTGACAGGGGAGGTCATCACTTCAGAGAGAAACCATAAGCAAGCAGCAGTAAGAAGCTACCTGTGAATTAGAGCTCTGCCAGGTCTCTACCATAGACTAGGTGAAAGGGACCATGCAGTTTACCATGGCACTCAGGACACACTGGTTGTTCATACGGTTGTAGGAATTTTCTTTCAAGATAGCACAAACTCCTTAAAAATTCCTCTGGTGCCTTCAGTTAGGACAATCAGTCGAACAGCTTTGCAGTAGCAGCACATTGCCTTCGTGAAAAACTAAACCCTTCAAGTCACAAACACACTTAGCTATGTACACATAGAGAAGTTTCACACACTGGGGAACACCAAGGGTCTACAGGAAAGAAGAAAATGGAGAAGCAGCAAAAAAGTGACCTTGGAACCACAGCCAGAAAGCTACAACTTATTTCATGGCTCCTCCATGAAGCAAAATGGTGAAACTCATCCTGAGGACTCAAAACTGCACTTAGGTTTCACCTTGTGAGGGTATTCACACCATCTCCTGTTCCCAAAATCTCCACCCTCAAATCCTGGTGGCTTCAGCAGCAAGGGAAGTAGAGGAAAGCAGTGGTTACCCATGGCAGTGCACAAACAAGGCTGCTTCTCAATCCAACTGCATAAGAAGTCTACAGGGGAAAGAAGTTAAACAATATTCTTTCACAAGCACTGGAGATGGATCCTCCCAACCCCTCTCCTCACAGATTAATATGGCATTACCAAGCAGTCAACCAGAGGGGAGCAGGGCACAGAGAGGGACACTTTCAGAAGTGCAGGTTCAGCTTTGCTCTCTTTCACTTCCATCAGAGCTTCTATCCTACTCCTACCACACTTTCAAATGCCATCCAGGGATTAAAGCCTATCCTTGGGAGCTCAGCTGTGCTTTAAAACACATACATTTTACTGAGGGAAAACAATAACCCTATCCTTATTCTGATAGAGCGTTTCGTCTCTCTGTGGTCCTGCCTGTGCTTAACAAAGCTCCATCTGCATGCAGAGCACCTCCGAGGTGCTGCTGATGGCAGAGTGCTGAGAAGAGCAAACGAGCAGGTCCCCTGGGCTGCTGACAGCATTCCCAGAGTTCTCCAGGTGGCAACTGCAGACATTAAGCAGTGGTAGCTCTTTTCTTCCATTCTAATCACACCTGCACAGAATTGATCTTCAGTGGGCAGCAGAGAGATGAAGAGACAGACAGCACAGAGCTCCAAACTGCTTTGGGCTGGAAGTGATCTTAGAGATCCTCCAGTTCCAACTCCCTGCCATGGGCA